TGGGTTTTGGGTTTTGGGTTTAGGGTTTAGGGTTTAGGGTTTTTAGGGTTTAGGGTTAGGGTTTAGGGTTTTTAGGGTTTAGGGTTTAGGGTTTAGGGAAGAAGAAGCACATGCAGGTTTACGTCGGGCGCCAAGCTTCTCATGTATTTGCTTTCTCCGGGTTTATGGGGTTTACATGGGCTTACATCCCTCTAAACCCAAACCCCAAACCCCAAACCCTAAACCCCAAACCCTAAACCCCAAACCCCAATCCCTAAACCCTAAACCCCAAACCCTAAACCCTAAACCCCAAACCCTAAACCCCAAACCCTAAACCCTAAACCCCAAACCCTAAACCCTGTAGGCCTCGAGGGCGCGCTGCTCCGGTGGAGCTCGGCCTGGCGGGACTGGACCAGGACCTCGGCTTACAGCTTTTCAGGGTGTTTTCCATTGTTTAGGGTTTAGGGTTTAGGGTTTAGGATGTAGGGTTTAGGGTTTCGGGTTTAGGATGTATGGTTTTGGGTTAGGGTTTCGGGTTTAGGATGTAGGGTTTAGGGTTTGGGGTTGAGGGTGTAGGATTTAGGGTTTCAGATGTAGGGTCTATGGTTTAGGGTTTAGGGTTTCGGGTTTAGGGTTTAATTAGGATTTAGGGTTTCGGCTTTTTTTTAGGGCTTAGGGTTTAGGATGTAGGGTTTGGGGTTTAGGATTTAGGGTTCTTTTTGCTTTAACCTACCGTGGATTCGGATGTAGGGTTTGGAGCTCAGGGTTGGGGCTCTTTTTGTTTTAACCTAGAGTGGGTTGGGATTCAGGGCATGTTTAGGTTTGTGGCCTAGGGCTATCCAGCGGTTTTCTGTCGGTAAGGTTTTGTGTTGTAGGTTTTGGCGCTGAGCACGCAGCTGAATCCTACCTATTGCTTGTGGCGCCCTAAACCCTAAACCCTAAACCCTAAACCCTAAACCCTAAACCCTAAACCCTAAACCCTAAACCCTAAACCCTGGCTGCTGGTGAGGAGCAGCCGTGAGGACAGCTCGCCACTGCTCCGCTTCCTCCTCGCTGGGGCTGTAGAACTTGAACATGCCCGACTCGAAGATCCTTCGTTCAGGGTTTAGGGTTTAGGGTTTAGGGTTTAGGGTTTAGGGTTTAGGGTTTAGGGTTCTTGGTTCTTCGCGCCACTCGGCTTCTCAAGGCGTTCTTGGATCTACAAAAGCTTGCAGTTCAAGGACACAAGCACGGCCCCATACACCCCTAACGAGGCCCTAAACCCTACAGGGTGGGGCCCCTTAGTTATAAATAAGTAAAGATACTTATATGTAACTTAGAGCACTTATAACCAACTTACACACTAAGCTTGCTAAGTTAGTTAGCCAACTTAGAAGTTGATGTATAAGTTACAAAATGTTGTTGTGAGAGTAAAAAGTCATCATGCAAAGCCCATGTCTTAAAAGAAGAGGTTTTTGGGCGCTCTTCAAGAAGAGGCGTCTCCTGGCCCTGCAACGCCATCTCAAAGCAAGTTGGTGTTGCGGAGAAACGAAAGCTGTCTGGCTGAGACAGGAAACAAATCGGCTGCGGGCAAAGACACAAAACGTTCAGCGCATGCGCTTGGGATGTGGGGATGTGTCCGCGTGTGCCCCACGTGTGTCGAAAACCCGATGTGTCCGCGATGTATCCGGTGTGTCCGCCCCATTTTTTGGAGTGTGTCCGGTGTTTTCCTGTGTGTCCGCCCTCTTCGGCACCATGTGTCCGTGATGTTCCCCCGTGTGTCCGGATGTGTCCGGATGTGTCCCCGACGTGTCGGTGCATGTCCGAGTGTGACCCGAATGCGTGCCAAGCCAAAGGCTTCGCAAAACACGGCCCGGCCCGGAACATCAGCTGTAGAAACTCCTCGACAAAAGAAAAACCTGAAAAACATTCGTTCCGAGCCGATAACCTTGCAAAATCCTATATTTGACTGTCGCGAGCATGGATCTTATGAAAACACGGTTTTTTAGAGCCAAGTTGTATAAGTTACTTATAAGTTGGGCAGTAAAAACTTATAACTAGCTTATATCTTGAACAAATAATAACTAAACCATGCACTTAACAACTTATAAATGATGTTAGGAAATTATAAATTGATTTATAGAGGTTGTAATTCAATTTATAACTGAGGGGCCCCACCCTGTAAACCAAAACCCTGAACCCAACGCGCCGCGCCCTTCAAAGTGACAAGGCTTCAGCTGTGGGGCTGGGTTTGGGGGGTCGCTTTGCGGCAGTTGCTCACCGAACTCCAGATCAACACCCTAAACCCTAAACCCTAAACCCTAAACCCTAAACCCTAAACCCTAAAACCCTGCACCCTAAACCCTACAGAATCCCCATACAAACGGACTGGGAAAGGCAGGGATCAGTGTCACCATGCAGGGCCCCAAGACTTGCTCCGCCACCTTGGCGTTGAATAACGTCAGGGCGGCTTTGGGGTTTGGGGTTTGGGGTTTGGGGTTTAGGGTTTAGGGTTTAGGGTTCGGGGTTTAGGGTTTAGGGTTTCGAGTTTAGGGTCTGAGGTGGGGGCTCTTTCTGGGGCGCTTGGCGAGATTTTAGGGATTTAACCTATTCAATGCACCCGAAAACCATACAACCTGAAACCCTACACACGGAAGCTGCAAGGAAGGGCGTGGTGTGGACTCTGGGCTGGCAGCACGCCCTCTGCACCCAAAACCCTAAACCCTAAACCCTAAACCCTATAAACCCTAAACCCTAAACCCTAAACCCTAAACCCTCCTCACGGAAGCACAGCAAGCGCCACAGGCTTGGGTGCGGCAGCGCCGCCTCCACTCGCCTCAACGACCGCAGATCCACGCTGGAGGCACACCTGGCCCGGACATAGCTTTAGGGTTTAGGGTTCAGGGTTCAGGGTTCAGGGTTCAGGGTTTAGGGTTCAGGGTTTAGGGTTTAGGGTTCAGGGTTTAGGGTAAGCTGGAAACACTAAAACCCTGTGACCCTCTATCCCTTGAACCCTACAAGTCCATAACTTTGTAACCCTAAACCCCCGCGGTTGGCAAAGCGCTTGAAAGCCTGTGTGACAGTCTGTAGGCCGGGAAGCCTCAAGGTCGATTGCATTTTTGTTTCGCTGCCCCGGGTCCGAACCCTAGAGAATCACAACCCAAACCCTACAAACCCTAAATCCCTCGCCCCTACGCCGTGCCTGGGTGGCGCAGGGCCTTGCGCCTTGGGGTAGAAGTTCAGGGCCCAGGCATCCACCTCTTCGGGAGCCCCCAAAGAAGGGACACGCACACAGTTTTCGGCGGATTCGGGATCTTTGGCCTCTGAACTTCTGAACATCGATTCCACGTGAGCATCGCCTTTTCGGGGAGACACCTCCCATTTTTTACGATGCCTGAAGTACAAAGTTCCTACATGTCTGCAAAAAGAAATCATGGGGTGTTGGCAGTAGGAAACTGCGAGCCTGAACAGGCAACTCCTAGGCAGAAAGCGCGGGGCCTTAGTAAAACACTTCACGGAGCCCGCCTCGGCGTACATCCAGGGCAGATCGCCCTCCAGCGTGTGCAGCTTCTCGGCAAGGGTGTCGGTCTCCGCGTCCACCGCACTTCGAAGCTGCACCTGACAGAAAAGACTGCAGCTGGCATGACATGCAGGTGTGGTGAAGCCCTAAACCCTAAACCCTAAACCCTAAACCCTAAACCCTAAACCCTAAACCCTAAACCCTAAACCCTAAACCCTAAACCCTAAACCTAAACCCTAAACCCTAAACCCTAAACCCTAAACCCTAAACCCTAAACCCTAAACCCTAAACCCTAAACCCTAAACCCTAACCCTCAACCCTCAGCCCTCAACCCAACTTGGGGTGGGGACAGGGGCCTAGGCGTTTTTGGGGGCTTCGTCCCTGTAGAGCCTCAAGCCTGAGGCCGACACTCCCTGAAGCCCACACTAAAATAGCGAACCCCCACCCTAATCCTAAGGAGCCGACGTTGGCTCCTACGGTTTGGAGTTCAGGGTTTGAGCTAGGGGAGCGATGGCGGCGCTTTAGTAAGGATTCATAGGACCCTTCTTCTAAACTGAGCAACGATTTTTGGGGAGCCAGGTCAACAAACCCCAAACACAAAGACGGCTTCGGGTTCGAGAGCTTGCAACCCGTGCGGGTTTGGGGTTTCGGGATATTGCGGGTTATACGAGCAGTTTCCCAAGGAATGTGCCTTGAGCTTTGGGGCCTAAAAACTTTAGGGACTGAACCTTTGCGTGGGCTTGGGGGTTTAGCGTTTAGGGTTTGGAACCACAAGGGAGGGGAAGCCAATTTTAAGCTTGGAGAGCTCGGGCTCGGCGTGCGCGTCGGCTTTGTCTTTGACATCAAACTCTGACGCACGTGGCGTGAATATGCACTACAGTTACAGTCACTACAGGAGCCCAGGGCCTCGGCGTTCACGGATACTACGTCGAGGGGGCCGTTCACATGAAAAATGACAGCTGAAAACGTGGGAGGTTCCCAAAGTAATTTGGGGTCTAGTGCTTCTGGACAACTCTTTTCACACTGTAGCTTTTGGGAAACTCCCACGCCCAGATGATCACCAATGATCACATGCCATGGCCCATGGCCAGGCTCGCGATGCGAGCTCAGACGAAACTGAAAGCTGAAAACGTGGAAGGCGGGAGGCTCCCAAAATAGTTATAGTCTTCCTAGGGCTTTGGACAATTCTTTCCACACGCTGTGGGGTAAAATCCGGGGGGACCTAGCTTTTGGAAACTCCCACGGCCTGTTGATCACCAATGATCACATGCCTTGGCCCATGGCCATGTCGCGATGCGAGCTCAGACGGAATTGAATTGGCAGCAGCTCTCTGATGTCGAATGAATTCGTGCCCCCCCCCCCCCCCCCCAGCTTTTGAGGGTGTTGCCTTAAGACCCTAAACCCTAAACCCTAATACCATGAACCCTAAGACTTATGAGGGGGGAGGAGCCGAGAGAAGTCGGGCCTTAAACCCTCAACCCTAAACCCTAAACCCTAAAGCCTAAACCCTAAACCCTAAACCTTAAAGGCTCCCACGCCCAGCCGCGGAGTTCTCCACCGAGTCCTTGGAGCGACGGTCCGCGAGCCGGTCTGCGGTGGAGGCACCGTCTTCCGAGGTGCCGCTCGTTGTGCCTATACCGAACTGGGAACCCTATAGCCAACATCATAAAAGCAGCTGTTTTTTTTCATATAATTTTAGTGCCCAAAAAAAATAATAATAATAAAAGAAATATATATATATATATATTTATTTATTTATATACATATATAAAGTATTCCCAAGTGTCCCAAGATGCCTCGAGAAGCTCCTAGGGATGGACTCAAGACCTGGAGACTGCCAGGGCTGTGAGGGTTCTGACCTTCACGCGCCAAGCGCGTGAAGTGATGGGCGCGCGGGGGCTCCAGTCCCAGCGCTCGCAGGCTGCGCGCCCTCTGGCGAAGGAGCTCCAGGTCCTCACCGTCCTGTGCCACCAAGTAGAAGCGGTTGGCTTGCCGCCGGGAGTGCGCAAGATCCTCGCGGTATACTCCACCCATGGCTGTCACGTCTGCAGGGCTTGGAAAGAATTGAGACAACAAATTGCTTGAGAACCCACCAAAAAAAACAATCCTCCTTAGAAGGGCAATATAGGGATTTTCACTATGATTTTTTGGGGGTTCTTAAGCAAGTAGTAGGAGAGCGAGCCCTGGAGCCATCGTGTGGCCGGCGTCTCCACGACGTTGGAGCGCTGAACCCTATAGAACCCAACATGCCCCCTATAAACCCCCTAAACCCCCCTTAACCACCTAAACCCCCTAAACCCCCCTTAAACCCCCTTTAACCCCCTTTAACCCCCTTAAACCCAGGATCCCGTTGAGGCCGATTGAGTCGTATTTGGCATTTTGAATCTGGGGGCTTCTCTCGTCTCGTGATGAGATCCCAGAATCACAGGCTACGGCCGCGACATTTTGTTAAGTCAGAGACTCGCCCTCAACACTTTCAACTTTTCCAAGCCACCCAAAGCAACCAAACCTGCCACCAGACGCGGAGTACTGTAAGTTTGGGGCTTCAAGGTTTATATAAGGCTCAAGGGTTGCTACTCCCGAAATCCCCCACCCTGCAAACACGCAGCTCTTCTGTCAGAACGCCTGGTTTTAGGCAAGTCATGCAGGCATGATATGTGATGGCCTGCAAAGTACGTTACGGAGAGAGCCCTTGAAATAGGGCTGGGCTCTCGTGCCCGGTGGCATCGGCGGCCTAACACTAAAGCAGCTTAGGGTTTGAAGGATTTAGGGCTCAGGGCTCAAGGTTGGCCCTTTAGGGTTCAAGGGTTTACAGTCTAGAGTTCGGGAGGCTCAGGGTTTAGGATTTAGGGCTTTCAGGCTCAGGGCTAAGGGCTTACGAGGGTTTAGGGGTTTCAGGTCTATAGGGCGACTCAGGGCCCTAACTTCTGCGCGGCCTGTACCCAGGCACCCTGGCGGGGACCAGCCGGCATCTGAACTTGCGGAGCCGTCGGCCACGGACCTCCATACTGCCTCGGTGATTTAGGGCTTCGGGTTTAGGGCTTAGGAGGTCGTAGGCTGGCATGTTTGACATGGGAAAGTTCCCCGACCCCCCCTCCCCCTCGCCCCTCCCAACTACCCGGAAAAAGGGGTGAGAGGGATCTTGTGGTTTAATAGAGGGTTTAGGGTTTAGGGTTTAGGGTTTAGGGTTTAGGGTTTAGGGTTTAGGGGAGGCTTGCTGAGTTGAGGGTCCCTGCAGACATCGAGAGACTGAAGCCCAGAAGCTCTACAGCTTGAGCCCAGAACCTTGGGATGTTCCCCCTTAAGCCTTATACAAAGAGTCCTTAATTGGGATTCGTACTAAGGACTGCCAGTATAAGGGGGAACATCCCAACCTAAACCCACACAAGTATCCCCTAAACCCGAAACCCGAAACCCGAAACCCTAAACCCTAAACCCTGCAAAACATCCAAGATTCGGTGTGTTTGGCGCAGGTCGCGTCCTCCAGCTCTGGCTGCTGGGTTCTACGGTTTGGCTTCGTGGTTTACGGCTGCCAAGTGTTTCCGATGTGGGGTTTAGGGTTTAGGGTTTAGGGTTTAGGGTTTAGGGTTTAGGGTTTAGGGCTGCCCTGGGTAGATTCATTCTAAGGGGAACTAGAACCCTTTAAAGGAGGTTGGGGGCCACATGAAACTACCCTCAGATAGATCGTAGGCACCAGTGTCCAACCCCAAGCCCGAAACCGGGCGTCGATTCGCAAGCCTCGGTTAGACTCGTTCAAAGGGGTGTCTTCCCAGCACCCTAAACCCTAAACCCTAAACCCTAAACCCTAAACCCTAAACCCTAAACCCTAAACCCTAAACCCTGAGCCCTAAACTGGCTTAAGGAAACTTGAAGAACAAGGGAGTTTCTCCAAGCCTAGCGTCTTGGTAGCCCAGCAGCCATAGTACAATAAGGGTACCCTCTTTGGTGTTGGTTGCTGTTATTCGGGAACACTAAAAGGGCAGAAGGGCCCCACTCAGCTACCAAGGAGAACCGAATCTACTAGCCCGCCTTCGATGCTCGCGTTGTACTACAGAAGAGAGTGCATTGTACCTTTATCTAGACCCAAGAAAAACCTGACAACACAAAGGGCGCCCTTTTTGGTTTTTGAAGGGGCTTGTAAGGAAACCCAAACCCTCAAACAGGGAACAAGGGCCTGCTTCCTAGTTATTAAACACCCTAACCCTAAACCCTAAACCCCAAACCCTAAACCTCATACCCTAATCACAAAAAAACAAGGGCCGGTCGCCCGTAGTTCAAGGACTCCCTGAGAGCCCCAGACTTTACTATGCTTGCAAAACCTAGTAGCCCACCCCAGGTCCTCCTTCAAAAACGAAAAGAACTCCAGAGAAGCCCCCTAAACCCCAAACGCTAAGCCCTAAGCCCTAAACCCTCACCCTCGAAACCCTCGAAACCCTAAACCCTGAATCCTTCGAACGGAACAATCCCCAAATACCCATAGCTTCAACTGGGGATCTGGTGGGGCATCATCACCCAGGGGTTGAAGTAACCCGGATTCTGGCCGGGAGCGTACACCTGGGCATGGGGTTTCGGGTTTAGGGTTTAGGGTTTAGGGTTTAGGGTTTAGGGTTTAGGGTTTAGGGTTTAGGGTTTAGGGTTTAGGGTTTCGGGTTTCGGGTTTCGGGTTTAGGGCTTGAAGTGCAGAAGTTGAGGGTCACCGGGTAGGGCTCTGAAGAGCTCTTGCGAGTTTCTAGCAGGCCCCAGCCCCTGGCCGCGAAATTCACGCGCGGCTGGGCGAGTCATATGACCCTACCGTAGGGGGTGGGGTTTTAGGGGTGTAGGGTTTAGGGTTTAGTGATTTAGGGTTGAAATCTCGACCCCTCTATCCCCCATATAAGCCGATGGCTCAAACACTGCAGTTTTGGGTAGGGTTTGGGGCTTGGGCTTCGGGCTTCAAGAACCTCAGCTTCAGCCGCACTACCGTACATGCGGGTGCCCTTTGGGCAGCGACTCTCCTTGAGTGTATGTCCTTGGGATTTGAATTGCCGGAAGGGTTCAGGGTGTAAGGATGAATATATGAGTTTTGGCTAAGGAATCTGTTAGAGCCCGAATTAATAAAGCATTGCAACAGCCATCGAAGCATCTTCCATCACATCTGCCATAAGACCTACACCCTAAACCCTAAACCCTAAACCCTAAACCCTAGACCCTAAACCCTAAGCCTAAACCCAAACATCCCTAAGCCCTGAGCCCCTGAACCCTAAACAAGCCCAAGACCTAAGCCCCTGCACCCCCAACATCCCTAGACCAGCCCGAACTCCCTGAGCCCTAAAGCACCCTAAGCCCTATGAGCCCTATAATCCTAAGCCTCCCTGAGCCCTAAACCCTAAACCCTAAACCCTAAACCCTAAACCCTAAACCCTAAACCCTAAACCCTAAAACCTAAACCCTAAACCCTAACCCTAAACCCTATAAGCCTCCCTAAGCCATAACCTCGAGGCCCGAAACCTCTCCAAGCCCTGTTGTGGGCCATGCCTCGCCATCCATGTGGCCGAAACGCGACTTCATGGACCTGAGGAGACCCCGCCGCTTTGGAGGGCGTGGAAGGGTTTAGGGTTGATAGGGTCAAGGGTTTAGGAGTTTTGGGTGATAAGGCAACTTAGTGGGCTTTTTTGGGTGTAATTGCGGGGTTTATAGGGCTTTAGGGGTTTTAGTAACTTGGGGCTTGTGGGTTTGGGGGTTCAGGGTGTGGGGGCTTAGGGGTTTATACGGGTGCGGGGTTTAGTTGGGGCTTACGGTTTGGGGTGGGGGGGGGGGGGGGGCGGCCGGGGGGGGGCTGTTCAAGCTTCAACCCAAACTCCCAAGCCTGTACACCAAGCCATGCATCGTGATAAACCCTACTAGACACCCTATTTCCCTACAAGCGTACGTAGCCTAGCTATAAATAACCCTAAGCCCTAAACCCTAAACCCTAAATCCTAAATACCCCTGAACCTCCAAGTGCAGTCTTCCCGACCTCAGCATGCTGACACGCGTGTTGTAGCTTGCCCATGGAGGAGCCTTGGTCGTTCGCGCCCCGCAAACCTCAAACATCCTAACACTGAACCCTGAAGTCATCCTGAACCCTATCACCCTAAACCCTAAACCCTAAACCCTAAACCAAGTATCCCGGCGCCTCGAGACCGAAATCCCCAAGCACCGAAGCTGCGACCTCCCGCCCCCCTCGGCGAGAATGAGGCCCCAGAATCCAACCCTTACAACCTGGCCCCTTTTGTCAGGTTTAGGGTTTAGGGTTTAGGGTTTAGGGTTTAGGGTTTAAGGTTTAGGGTTTAGGGCCACTCTGCAAGGGATAGAAATTCGGGGGACCCTTGGGAATATAGACCCTCTCAACGAGGGTTTCCGGTTCAAGGAACCTAGGAATGAAAAGGGCACCCGTTTTGGATTGAAGGGGATGATAAGGGAACCGAAGCCCCTAAACAAAGGGAATAAGGGCCTACTCCGGGCGCTAGGTTAAGGAACTTTACCGCGCAACAACCCTAAACCCTAAACCCTAAACCCTAAACCCTGAACTTCTAAACCCTAAACCCTAAACCCTACACCCTACACCCTACACCCTAAACCCTAAACCCTAAACCCCTGCCCACGTCTCAGCGGCCCCTACGGCGTGCGCGGGCAGCGCCGGGAGCGCCGGGGCATTGTACATCGCGAGCTGGGCCATGGCTTGGCCAGAGGAGCCCAAACCCTAAACCCTAAACCCTAAACCCTAAACCCTAAACCCTAAACCCTAAACCCTACACCCTAAACCCTAAACCCTAAACCCTAAACCCTAAACCGTGGTGTCTTGAGGGTGAAAGCCTGCAAGGGGCGCGGGTGGGGGGGGGGGGGCGATCTTGGCAAGAATGGGTGCTTGCTTTTTGTTGTTTGCATTCTGACCCGCACAGAAACCCCAAACCCTGAACCCTGAACCCTAAAGCCCTAAACCCTAAACCGGGCATGTCAACTTGGCAATTCGTTGATAGACTCTCGTACTCAAGAAACCTTCAAGCTTCGGGTTT